AATTTATAAAAATGTATTTACATTCAATAATTACATTTAAAAAGTGTAATTAAGAAAAGGTTTTTCGAATTCGATTTCAAATTACATGAAGTGAAAGATGGTGCTCTGTCAAGGTTCAGAACAGAGGACCCAGAATTCAGACAGACGGACAGTAAAAGATGTCAAAGGGCGTTTATTAAAAAATGAGGGATCTGCAGTGAGCAGCTGGGGCGTCTAAGGCAGGAACCTCTGGTCGTAAAGTTCAGTCCGTTCCCAGAGGAAGAGGTGGATTCCAGCCATACAGCTGCCGAAAAGATGCCTTCTGAAGGGATCTGGGCCAGAAGGTCAGAGATCCAAAGAGGTTCCCGAAGGGAAATCCAAGTCGGCTTCAGGAAGCAGTTCCAGGATTGGTCAACAGGTAGAATCCAGCAGGAGTTCAAAGACGGGTCGGGCAAACGGATCAGAACGGGAACAGACAGGCTCAGAGGTCTTAAGGCAGAATGGGTCAAGGTCAGGCAATCAGAACCCAAACAGGAAGGCTAGAGAACTCACCAAAGGCTCGAATAATCTGGCACTGATGACTGGAAGCAGGTAGGTTAAATAGAGGAGGTGACACAGATCAACGGTGATGAGAAACTGGGTGGAGCTAGACAGGTGAACGGAATAAGTAATTCAACCATTAAAAGGCAAAGATCTGGGGACCTTTTATCGATCCCTGATGAACTCCAGCTTTAAAACTAGCACTAACAGAACTCTCTCCTTCTGTAGACGCACCAATCGGGAGATAGTCTGCATAACTCCCGCCTCCTTGTCTGGCACCGGCCCCGCCCCTGTGCGTCTGATGATCGACAGGGCCGAGGTGACCAACTCTGACGTGGGTTACATCTACACCGACGACCCGACCATCTCCAGCATCGAGCCCAACTGGACCATCCTGAAGTGAGTCCTTTTGACTTTAATACAACTTTAATTAGAGCCCCGGATCAAGCTGCATTAACCACTGAAAAACAGGACCGAGTTTATCGACAGAAGAACGAGAAATTACCGGCAGCTCAGTCGACGGGCTGCTCCAGAACAGTCACAGCTGAACAGAACCAAGTCAGGAAAAACAGATTAAATGTTAACTGTTTAATAATCCAAAACTTTAGAACAGAAGTAAAATGAAGCA